AATAGCCCCCTAATATCCCGGCGGGGGCGGCCACGGGGCAACGGCCGGCCAATGGGCGTCTTCTCCGCACCGCCCGGAGCCAGACTGGAGTGCCGCTCCCGAAGTCTGACCCGCCGCCAACTTAGCCAAACCAGCGGGGGGCCGCGGCACAGCGCCCCCAGTCCAGCGCAGAGCCAGCACAGCCCGGGGCCCGCCGGGGGAAGAGGAGGGTCAGAGCGAAGGGCGCTCGTTCCCCGACAGGTATTGGGTGGGCGAGGGGAGTACAGAAAGTCTGGACTGGCCCCTCTGGCGAGGGCTAGGAGGGGGCGACAACTCACACTGGATCGTGGGCGGCTAGCCCCTCAGGTGGGGATTGTTAGGCGCCGCGGCGTGGACGGGGTTAATCCTGAGCGTGGAGCTCGGCCTGTGGGGCTGCTCCTAGCCCTTCTCCAGAGAAGGTAAAGTTACTTCTCTTCCCCTTTTCTGACTTCTCAGCGCTTTCCGCGTTCTTGGCGCTGGTGGTGCGATCCCTCTGCTAAACCTGCAGCGGATGTGTGGCTTCCCTTTTCCCTGCGACGCATGGGGCCACATTTTACGCTGTTAGGGCGGCACATCTGCACTTTTCAGACTAGGTTTTCTTTCCACGTTCCTTCGCACCAGGCCCCTCTGTGTCTTCCAGCCTCCCCAGGTTGTGGCAGTCTGATGAGGGTGACTGTTCGAGCCTAGCCGTTGATATGGCCAGAAGAAAAAGTCTCTGTCTTATGGAAAGTTTAGAAGAGTTCCCCTCTGACCAGATTAAGGGGGCACATGGTCGTGGTGCTCTGTTCCGGAGGCTAATGCACACACCCATGCTGCTCACGCTTTCAAAGAGACGCCTGGCTTGAGGGCGCACAGGCTTCCCAGGGACTGGTCGGACCCAGAGGTTTGGAAGGGCTTGTGCCTCGAAGCAATTAAAGCTTCTGTTCCATCAGATAAGTGCTGCGTCGTCTCCTGCGAGTGAAATCTGAGGGCTCACAATGTTAATGGGCTCACGTCTTTCCCTTGATAATACGGTTTTGTTTACTGAGTGTAGAGAGACGGGAAATAAAAGTGCACTTGGCACAGGAAATGAGTAGAAGGGTTACCCAGACAAGCTTTACACTGACAAACTTTGCAAGTTCCGTGAGCATTTCTTTTCATGTTTCCCTCTTTCAGGTTGTAGGAAAATAAATTAAATATATATACAGTTTTTTTTAATACAACCGTAATGATGACATAGGGTGGTTTTCTAAAGTCCTGACCGAATGAAGACTCTAGAATGTCTATTCCTAGCTTATTCAAGTGCCCTTGAAAACTCGATCTGTTACCTCTGGATTATGGTGACCGACGTTTAATTATTGTTTTACTGATCCGCTTGTCATGAAAGAGCGATTGAGCTGGTGCCTAAAATTCAACTCTGAGGAAGTCTGGAGAAAAGGAGCCCTCCCGTCCAGGGAGCCAGTTCCTTACAGGGATGTGGACTTGTGAATAAACAAAGCCCCACCCAAAGTGTAGACTGCTGGTAAGGCTGAAGTTAAGTCTAGTTGAGGGAGGGATGCCCCCGGTGGGGAGGGGCTGGTGATGGGACACCCAGGAATGAACAGAGTTGGTAGGGGTCTGGCTCACTTTCCAACAGGAACCTTCGCTACCATCTGGTAATGCATCCTGGGCTGAAATAGTCCTTCGACTTTGGTTTTGCTATTTCAGTGTTGTTCTGTAGCTAACCATATAACTAAGTCCTAAATAGTTTTTACCTAGCGAAAAATAAAGGCTCTTCTCCAACCCGAGTTAGGGAGTGAAAGAGCTTTTCAGAGCTTGCTCTGCCTTAAAATGGAGATCTATTTCTTCACTTCCCACCTTCCAAGTCCTTAATACAAAAGTACAATACCAACAAAGTTCACAAAGCCTCCTCCTCCACCCTCCTCTAGACTTTAGTAGCTAGTTTTTACCGGCAAGAAGTCCCGCTTTCACAGTCCTCTTTCAAGTGGGACTTGTCCTATCACAACTCCTGGGTTGTGACCAGAGGCCCCAGAGGTCAAAGTTAGGGTAGCCTGTAAACCACTTTGAGGAAGCTATCCAGCGGTGTCAACTTCAGTCTAGGGCAGAAAACCTACCCCGATTGTCTGGCAAGTCTGACAAAAACCACCCAAATAAGAGCCTTCAGGAAAAAACAGGCAGCCTCGGTGTCTTGGCAATCTTCAGGGCTACATAAATCAGGTTTTTCCTGCTATCATTTGGGGCGAAGGTTGAGTCCTTCTGACATAATTAAGGCTTGACTTTGACACACTCATGGGCTATCCACACTGTTTCACTGAAGCAAAATTTTGGAGATTTAGCCGTTGCTGAGGGAAGAACATGTCCTAAAAGAGAATGAGGGTTTGTTTTTCTTAAGTATTTTGGGTGGGAGCGGGAGCAATAGATGGCACGGTTGTTAGGGCACTGGACTCCCCCATGGCCAACTTCAGTTCAAGTTTCAGACCTGGTGGCTTTCACTCATTCGCTTGTTCTCTCTCTCTCTCATACATGCCAGGTAGCAAATTAAATAATAATAATAATTTTTCAAATTAAATATTTCTTAAAGTTTTGTTTTCTTTTCACAACTATTAGGGGTGAGGAAGGGTTGAATTATTTGTTCAGATCCCAATATTGTTTCCTTGATAGCTGCAGAGAGTTAGAAGGAGACTTCAGAAAGTTCATGGAAAATGGAATTAAAGATAAGTCTATTTTGGTACACACAATAAAATCCATGCATACTTTTTTACAATATGCATTTTCCATGAGCTTTCTGAACCCTTTATACATTCTGTTCTTCCCTCTCTTTACTTCCTTTAATCTCCTGATCTTTGGTGTATCCCAGGCCTTAAATCTCAAAGTAGCTGTCTCCACTCCTGAGCTTGCTCAGGACTTGCTCCTGTTAGGATCTAGTTTAAGAGAAAAGGTCATCTAATGCCCAGATGCAGCAGCCACTTGCCAACAATCTACCATGTAAGAACATTTTATTAGGGGAAGAGTAGGCTGGGGGAAAGGATGTCCTCAAACCACAGAAACAAGAAATTTATTTATGACACGAGTCTTAACTATATTAATATAAATCTTATCCAAAAAAATCTTAATTCTGTAACTCTAAGAAAAGATTAAAAGATATTATGGGGGGACGGGGAGAGTGTGTGTAGAAAAATGTGAATATAGGATATTTTGAATAACTTTAAAGTTTGCCTCTCAAATGTTCACAGGGAATCAGATTTACTAATTTTATTACTAGTTTAAGCCATGAATTCCCAAGGGTTACTTGCCCTGCTGGGTCCTGGGAATTCTCTATGGGAGGTGACAGCAGAGGGGCCTGATTTGCCACATTGTGTTTGATGTAGGAATGCTTTGAAATCTCTCCTATCCTGCTCACCCCTCTACCCATTCTTTACACACACACACACACACACACACACACTCACTACCGTTCTCTCCCATTCTAATAACAAGCTTCTTTTTTGCAGACTGAAGTGATGGTAGGTTGGCAGCCTGGTTTTCTATGTGTTTAAAGTTGGTCCTAAGAAATCCCCTTCCGCAAGCCCCACTGAATTACCCCTTGGAGACACTTGAGCACACTCAAACTCTTCAGTCCACATCCCCAAACATAGAAACTCTTTTGCTTATTGAAGAAGGGGGAAAAAAAAGGAGTGGGAGATGGGGGAGTAGAGATGAGGTCTTTTTTCTCTTAAACCAGAAGTTCTCTGTAGCATCCTTCAGTCATCCCAGGATGGAGGTGGGGATGAAAAGGTCCTAAAGACAGGAGGCAGTGACTTAACCTGACAGCTCTGTGGATGGAAAGGCCATGGGTCAAGCCAGTGCTTAGCACATGATGGGCAGCTAATAAATGGTTGAACACAAATAATGAATGGACTGAGGGCCTGACAGTGGGTCAGTTTTGAAACACTATGCTCTGCAAGGCTGACCCACAGGAAAAATTCCCAGTTCATGTCTAGAGGCCTCCCTGAGTATGCCAGGCAGGCCTGTGCCCATAATCTGAGATTGGCTGAACCTGGGAGTGGACTGTAGTCTCAACACTCTGTTGCAGGTGTGCTCTTATTCTCTCTCTCCCTCTCTCTCTCTCAAAGATATTTTAAAAGGATGCACAGGGGGTCGTGATGGGCATGCAGTAAGATGGCATCTGCCGGGATCAGCAGTTAGCATAATGGCTATGTCGCTGGACTCCCACGTAGTCAACCGTGGTTCGCATCTCGGACCCAGTGGCTTAAAACTCACGCCGGGCACGTGTACGTGCGTACCCAAGATCCCAAGAGGAGAATGGAGGAGAAGGGATCGAAGCATGGCCATCCCCCCTGGGGGGTGATTTCTGGCTTTCTGTCTCTCTGTCTCTGTCTGTCTGGCGAGCGCACGCACCCTATAGCAAAAACCTCTCAAAAAAAAAAAAATGGCATCTACCAGCAGTGTCATGTAGGCAGCCAAGCCACACAAGCCATTAATAAGGTTCTCTGATAGAAGAGACAATCTTAAAGCCAACCTATTAGAAGCTTTGAGGTCAGCAGGGCTACCATCCCATTGTTTTGCAGTTTCACAGCATTCTAAGGGAAGTAAATCACCAGATTTGCTGATGGACAAGGGTCCACCAGACACAGAAGAAATAATAAAAAACTTTACCTCAGAAATACAGAAGGAAAGTTGTGTCTCAGGAAGAAATTGAATTTATCCAACATGGTGGTCCAGGGTAATCACTGTGGCTGCTGTTTTCATCAAACAGAAGAATTTTCTTTACAATAAAGGACTTCCAAAATGGCAAATGAGAAATGCTTATTAAACAATTTACTTTAATAAATATTTTGTAACAAAAAGAA